GGATTTGGATTTCCCCTTCATTCTAAAGAATCGGAGCAAACCCATTTCAAAAAGAAAAGAAATGAATTTGGGATTGGGATTGGGATTGGGATTGAAGAGAGACAAAAGTGAGAAGAAGTGAATAAGAAGAGGGGGGATTTTTAAGGCATGGAGTCGGTGGGTAGAGAGTCAAAAGAAGTGAAAAATAATTGATAATTTGATGGGTTTGGAGAAAAATGAAAAATTGGAGGAGTGGGTGTGATTGATTAAATTTGATATGGTTGGTGGGTGCACAGAGTCTGGCCTTGGCCTTGGCTGGGAAGCTACGAAGAAAGGGTCAATTTTGACTAAGGAAACACCCAAATGCAGTACCCACAGACCATTCACTCGTGTGGAGGATTTATTATTTTTTATTATTTATTATGGGTTTGTTTGTTTGTTTTTTTTGGAGCTTTTGGATTTTGGGCTTTGTGGGGAAATCAGAGGGTGAGGAGGCATTATCTGACACTATTTGGATCTCTCTTTTTTTTTTTCTTTCTTAAAAAGACAATAAGAGGTTGTGATTAGATTCATGTACCTCATTTTCCTCACTCATATTGAACCGTTTTCTTTTTTCTTCTTGTTCTTTTTTTTTTTTATTTTATATTTCTCCAAAGAGGAATGTGAAGGAGTTGCTTCTCCTTGGGATAAAAGATGATAGTTATTTTGCATTTATGTTTCCATGTTTTTGTCTAGATTAAATAGAACTGTGTTTAGCCGTTATTTGTCTAATAAGTCGGATAAAAAATTGAAAGTTCAATGACTTTTTAGATACAAAATTCGACAATTCAAATATGGTTTAGTGGATAAGATATCTAGTACTATCTTAAAGATCAATAATTTGATGTTTGATTAGGAAAAAATATATCTATTCTATTACAAACAAAATTTAAAGTTCATGAATCTATTAGAAATTCTTTAAATTTAGTGTCGTTATTAGACACTGATCTATTAGACACTTTTTAATATTCAATAATCTATTTAATAGCTCAATCGTGAAAGTTTAAAACTCACATCTGTAATTGAACTGTTTTTTATTTAAAATGGTGTGTCATTAGTAACTTCTTTAGTTGGTCAAAGGTTTGAGTTCTCATCTTTACATTTGTACTCTTCAAAAGAAAAAAAGAATGTGAAAACAAATATATTGGGAGAAAAATGATAAGTTGTAATATATAAATTTATTTATGATATATAGGAAAATTTTCAATTTTTTAACTTCAAAATTTTAAAAAGTTTTGATTTTATCTTTTGTGCAATAATTTTCACTCACGTTGTTACTTCTTAGTGTTATAAAATGTTAAAATTTATTATTAAGACAATAATGGGTGCCCTTCTTAGGACAGATCCCTCCTTTTGCTCCTCAGCGTATTACCAGTTATTTCTAGTTGTGTTCCTCTCAAAGACAGGTTCTTACGTGTTACTCATCCGTTCGCCATTGAAACACCACTTCTTTTTTTGTTAATTAGTTTAGAAATAACTTATGTTTTAACTTTGATAAAATTTATCTTATCCTAAATAATTTTGCTATTATAGAGAAGGGACTCATCAAAACTATTATTTTACTAACAAGGGGCAAACTTATATATATATATATATAAAAAAGGCTTTTAAAAAATTTACAAATTATTATTTTTTAAACATTTAAAATTACATCTAAAAAAATATCAGGTATTTACATAAATAGTATAAAATCAAATTATATTTTTAAATATAGCATAAAGTTTTAAATTTTACAAAAATGGTATAATCCAAATACAAATTTAAATGTAATATAAAGCAAAATAACAAATTTCACCCTTATCCTATCTTTGAAAAAAAAAAATGACATTGTTTAACCTATTAAATTTATGCTGGTAGTGAAATTTCGAAAAGAAAAAAGGAATTTAATTGAAAGTTTGACAAGATTAGGGATGAAATTTGAAAATAAACTAAATATTAGGACTAAATGCTCAATAAATATTTAGCAAAAGAAAAATAGAATATAAAGATCAATATTAAATAATGGAAGAGAGGCGGTCAATTTGCTATTTGGTTGGTTTTAGTCAATTTCCTAATCTGTTTTTATCAATTTCAGTGATGTTGATTTTTGGTTAGTTGAGACAATTTAATCAATTTGTTAATTTGTTTTGATTGATTTTATTAATTTTGTTGATTTTCTTTGGTTTTGATGTTTAGATCACTACAATTTTTTCCCTTTTTTTTCCTTTTCGTTTCTTTTATAGAATGGAAAAGTTGATTTGATGTTAACTTTTGCAAAAATCCACTTTAAATTATTGATTGATTACACTCCTAACTAAAAATTATCAGCTTTTAATTATTTAATTTTATTATATTTGAACTTCTACACACTTGTTTTATACAAATCTAGGTCCTTC